CCCATTAGGACGACGATGAAGATGATGGCAATGCTGGCGATCATGATGTTGGTGATGGTGCTGATGACGACGATGATGATGGTGATGACCATGCTGCTAATGATAATGACGATGCTGATGATGATGATGATGATGATGATGATGATCATGATGGCGATGATGATGATGATGATGCTGCTGATGATGATGATGATGATGATGATGATGATGATGATGATGATCGTGATGATGATGCTGCTGATGAGGATGATCGTGATGCTGATGATGATGACGATGATGATGATGGTGGTGGTGGTGGTAGTGGTGATGCTGCTGCTGATGATGATGGTGATGGTGCTGATAGTGATGAGGATGCTGATTCTGTTAATACTGATGATGGTGCTGTCGGTGATGATGATGCGGCTGCTGCTGTTATTGATGATGGTAATTACGATGATAACGGCGATGATGAGGACGACAGAAACGATTATGCTGTTGTAGTTGATGCTGATGACGACGATGATGATGATGATGATGATGATGATGATGATGATGATGATGATGATGATGATGATGATGATGATGATGATGATGATGATGATGATTATGATGGAAAGGATGATGTCGATGTTGCTGTTGAGCTCTTGTTCTGTAAAGATACGAGCTGTTAATCCCCCCCGTCGCACAGTGTAGTTTTTGCCCATTGAAGTTCCCCCTCTGGGGGTCGCACCCTTCTTTTTACCAGGGGAAGTCGTCAGAATCAAATTGAGCCCCTGGCCCCCGAACTACAGCATCAACGGCTCCCGCCTGATACTTTCTCATCATTTATTCCACAGTCGCGCTCTCACGAGGCACTTCCCCACAATGTATGCAAGAATCGCGCTTTCGCGTGGGAGCTTTCGCAATCAATTCAGACGCTCGCCTTCGACACTCAGGAATCAGGCTCTCGCTTTGTCGTTGTTCACGATTTTCTTGGGAGTCGCGCTATCGCTCGAGACTTCCTCGCTTCAGCAATCGACCTGCTCGACCTGGCCGCCCGGCCCGCCTTACGACTCTACCGCTAGGGTCTGCCGCACGATCTGCCAGTCTGTTGGTGCCATGTGTTTTCTGTTCCTATCCCCTTCCTGCTAATTTCTCGCGTGCTCCATCCTTCTCCCTCCCTCTTCCATCCGTACTCTCTTCCCTTGCTCCCGGAACTGCGCCAAATGATCGGGGAATGTAAGGAAGATATACCCCCAAGGGGGTACGATCGAAGACGAAAAGGGCGGGTACCGAGGGTTTGGGATGTACGTGCTGAATAGCACGTGAGCAGATAGGAGCGAACAGTCTTCACATGATTGTTGTTGTTGCTGTTGTTGCTGTAGCTGTTGTTGTTGCTGTTGCTGCTGTCTTTGTTGTTGCTGCTGCTGTTGCTGTTGCTGTTGCTGCTGCTGCTGTTGTTGTTGTTGGACTCATATTTCCCAGAAGCAATTATTGCAGATCCCTTCTCCGGTACCCACTTGTATTTTTCAATTGAAGTGCCCCTTCAGGGGCTCGCACCCAGTTTGTTATCAGGGAATAAGTGGCACCACCAAACTGTGTTGTTGGTCCCTGGTTTACAACAGCCACAACAATCATTTTGAAGCTGTTCGCTCTTATCGGTTCGAGTGTCATTCACCGTGTATCTCCCGAACCCTCGATACCCGCCCTCTTCGTCTTCGATCGTTCCCCGTATGTTTTTTTTTCCGTGCAGGCCGGGCCCCGGCAAGCGGCGGGGCTGCCGCGGACCGTCGGCCTGGCCAGCGGCAGCGCTGATCGGCGGCAGCCCGACCCCAAGAGGGACGGACACGGGACCGACCGCGACGACGACGACGACGACGACAAGCGAAATGGACAGCGAAAGCGAGGGCGACAGCGTCACCGGGGCCACGAAAGGTAGGAAGGGGGCCACGAAGGACGACAGCGGGGCCACAAAGGGCATGTGTCTGGGGCCACGAAGGGCGCGAATAAGCGGGGGCCACGAAGGGCAGATAATGCGGGGCCACAGAGGGCAACGACGGGGCTACTGAGGGTTGCAACGGGGCCACGTAAGACAGTGGGCCGCAAAGGGCGACAGCGGGGCCACGAAGGGCATGCGCATGGGGCCACGACGGGCGCGAACGAGCGGGGGCCACGAAGGGCATGCGTATATTGGGCCGCAAAGGGCAAGGGCGGGGCCACAGAGGGCGGCAACGGGGCCGCGAAGGGCAGCGAGCCGCGGCGCGCATGCGTGCGGGGCCGCGACGGGCGCGGACGAGCGGGGGCCACGAGGGGCATGCACATATGGAGCCACGAAGGGCAGCGAGGGGGCCGCGAAGGGCTGCGACGGGGCCACGAAGGGCAACGAGGGGGCCACGAAGGGCTGCAACGGGGCCACGAAGGGCAGCGATAGTGCCGCGAAGGGCTGCGACGGGGCCACGGACGGCAGCGAAGTGGCCGCGAAGGGCTGCAACGGGCCACGGAGGGCAGCAAGGGGGCCACGAAGGGCTGCAACGGGGCCACGAAGGGCAGCGAGGGGGCCACGAAGGGCTGCAACGGGGCCACGCAGGGCAGCGAGGGGGCCGCGAAGGGCTGCGACGGGGCAGCGGAGGGCAGCGAAGGGGCCGCGAAGGGTTTCAACGGGTCCACGAAGGGCAGCGAGGAGGCTCAAAAGGGCGGCAACGGGGCCACGAAGGGCAGCGAGGGGGCCACGAATGACTGCAACGGGTCCACGATGTGCAGCGAGGGGGCCACGCAGGGCTGGAACGGGGCCACGAAGGGCAGCGAGATCCCGATTCCTAAGTTAGCTGCGAGGGGGTCCGAAGCGTGAGCGCGACTCCTGGGTGCCTGCGTGTCGGGATCGCAGCGAGTGGGTAAATCGCGAATCTGGAGTAAATTACATGCGAGTCTCCAGCGAAAGCGCGACTCCAGAGCGCCGAAAGAGCGATTCCTGAATCCATTGTAAGGAAGTCCCAAGCGAGAGCGCGATTCCTAAGTGAACTGCGAGAGCGTCTCTCTGGGTGCAGATTCCAGTTAGCCGCAACTATCCACGAATCGTCCGCCGCTCGCAGGAAGGCAGCCAGCCGCGCCAGCTTCTGCGGTTTCGGTGGCCCCTTCCCCCACTGCGGCGCCATGTGCGCCGTCGCGAATGTGAGACTGCCCGCCTCCGCACGGAACGCGGTCGCCACGAGGCCGCGGAAATGGGTCCTCGCTGCTCTTCTGTTTCGCTGCCACACACGCATGGTCGAACGAGGTGGTCTCCAGGTGCCTGCCCGCTATGATTATTTCGCCACCGCAACAGACCGCTTTGCCGAAGCCTGACGGGCGCGCCGCAGTGGAGGCGGACTTCAATCGAGGTCGGCCTGGACCTTTTTGTGCTTCTCGGGCAAGAGGTGTGTCTCGCAGATGCCCATCACCCCAACCCTGGGGCGTCGCTCCTTATGCTCGTTGATGTAGCGGTGGGCCTGTGGCCCCCACTGCTCCCGGTTGGCGAAGAAGATCTGACCATCGCCAGCCGTGTCTGGCACTGGCCTCGCGCCAGGACTAGGATCGTTAAAGAGACGAGCCCCCTGGGGCTGGCAGCTGCGCCTCCTTTGCCTCCACTTTCCAGCACCAGGAACGTCAGCAGGAGCCAGAGCCTGATCGACACCCGCAACCCATGTGTTGTTCTGTTTACGTTTCCCCTAGGTGTCGGAGGCGGCGCGGTCCGCCTTGACCTTCGCCGGTGGTCGAGCAGGGCCTGCTTCCGCGTCTGGGCCGCCTCGGCATCAAGGGCTGCCTCTGGTGCGGCCGCCACTGTGCCTTCCCCTGCAGCGCGCTCGTCGGGATCGGCCTCCTTCTGGTACTTTCCTTTGGCAACGACCCCTGGTGCGGTTTGACCGTCCTCCTTCTTGCGCTTCTTCTTGAGCTTTGTGCGGAGGTTGGGGACCTGCTCGATCCGCTGGACCAAGAGCTTCTGGTGCTGATCCCGGCTGCTGAATCTCCTCCACCTTCGTGCGGAAAACCAGCATCGCCTCCTTCTCATGGCCATACTCATAGTCGTGCAAGTTGGCGTCAAGAAGCCTGTCGTCGACCGAGAAGTTAAGGGTCGACTTCACCTCAGGCTTCTCGTGCGCTTCTTTCTCGACCTTGACGAGCTCGCCCTTGACTGCCTGCCTGTAGTAGGTCGCCCAGGCCTTGGCACGGGCCTGGTCCACGTCGCTGGCGTCCTCCAAGGCCTGGTTACGACGGAGAAACGCATCGTCGTGAAAGATGGCCAGGTGCTTCAGCTCGTCCTCGCACTCCAGCAGCCACTTCTGGGTCTCTTGATGCTGCCCCTTCGCTCTCGTGAGGGCCTGCCACAAATCTTGCCGACGAGGCTGTGGCGGCGGCGCATGCTTGCGCTGGAGTTCCCATATACTGGGTCAGCTGCGTGTTCCCTCCTCCTGCGTACTCCAGCGCCGCCGTCTTGCCATCACGCTCACCTGGCTTGGGCCCCCACCGCGAGGACGCTGAGCTGTCAGCGCGCTGCCCGTAGTGATTGCTGCGCCAGGGTGGCGCGCTCTGGAACGGCTCCAGCCACGCGCCGCACTTGCCCCTTCCTCCTTGCTGGTCCAGCCGCAAGTTGTACACCCGTTGGACAAATTGAGAGTCGACTGTGGAGGGCTTGCTCTTGGGCATTCTCTGCTGAGCCCTACAAGCTGTGATTGGCCTGTCCAGTCGTATTGCGTCTTCAGCACGCTCAAGATCCCAAACGGCTTGATTCAGGAGGAGGAGCAGGAGGAGGAGGAGGATGAGGAGGATGAGGAGCATGACAGGAGGAGGATGAGAAGGAGGAGGAGGACCAGTGTACGTAAACCTAGCACTCATCAGCGTCTGTGCACGAAACCCTCCAGGTTCCCGCTTTCGCAGGTCCCTGGATTCATTTTCACTGAGGGAAGTGCCCCGTTGGAAGGCAACCGTCTGAAAATCCCGAACCGTGCCATAACGCCGTCGTGAATCAACGTTACTGATGCGTCCTGACCATCCTGAATCGTGCCAGAGCGCACTTCCTGGGTCTTCAACGGCGCGAATCATCGTGCCGAACACACCTGTTCTGGGATGTCGGCCATGAGAACTTTTGAAACTGCCGAGGACCCTCAAAAAGACGAGCGTGCGCGGCGCCAACGCGAGTTCCACATTTTGGAATGGTGTCGCTCTCCACCCGTGAAGCCCTTGCATATTTCTATAAAGAGGGTGCGCGGCGCTAAGGCGGCAGCCACGTTTTGAGCAGGCACTACCCTCCATCCGAGAATGTCTTATAACTTTTTCAGAAGGACGTCCGCGGCGCTAGGGCGAGACCCGCATTTTGGAAAGGTACCGCCCTCCATCCGTGACTCAAGTTTTTGACGATCGTGCGCGGCGCTCAGGCGAGAGCCCCAACTTGAAAGCGACTTGCTCTCCATGCGTGAAACTGCTAGGTGGTGAGGAAGTCTCAGGCCAAATATCGGGCCCGCCCTACCGACACGTGTCGGGGTCCGGCAGGGAGGAGTTATTGGTAAGGAGAAGGGACGCAGTAGGAGGGGCCAGTGCAAGCCCAAGACGCATCAACGATGTTGCAATCAATCCTCCCTCCCAGGGCATTCCTTATAGGCCCCTGCAAGAATGCATGTTCACTGCGGGAAGTGAAGTGACCCATCGGAAGACAATCGTTTGAGAATGTTCAATCGTGCCACAGCAGTATTCCTGGGACTTCAGCGACGCGAATCAACATCACTGTTGCGTCCTGGCAGTCCTGAGTCGTGCGGGAACGTCACTCCTGGGACTTCAGGACAGCGAATCAACGTGACTGTCGCGCCCAGACAATCCTAAATCGCGCCAGGGCACCATTCCTTGCAGTTCGACCATACGATTCTTTGACACTGTTTCACACTTCTCAGACGAACGTGAGGGGCGCTAAGGCCAGAGCCACATTTTGAAAAGAAGCCACCCTCCATCCGTGAAGTTGCTGCAGACTTTTAAGACACATGTGCGTGGTGCCGAAGCAGGAGCCACATTCTGAAAAGGAACCGCCCTCCTTTTGTGAACCGGCTGCGGATTTCGCAGACAAATGTGCGCGGCGCAAAGGCGAGAGACAGGTTTTGCACAGAACACGCCTTCCATCAGCGAAACTGTCGCGAACCTTTACGACGAGCTTGCGCGGCGCTAAGGCAACGGCCTCACTTTGAAAGAGACCCGCCCGTCCACCCGTGAAATTGTTGCCGGATTTTCGGACATGCTCGCGACGCTACGCTGAGAACCACATTTGATTTTGAAAATGGCCCGCTTCCCATCTGTGAAGCTGTTGCAGATGTCAAGCTTCAGGATCATGAGTGGTGCGGAAGTCTCAGGCGAAATCTCAGGCCTGCCCTACCGACACGTTTGGGGTGCGACAGGGGGAAGTTTGCTTACAAGGTCAACGAGTAGGGACGATAACAATGGAGGAGGAAAGGAGGAGGGAAGAGGGCGTGGGGGACGAAGGGGAGGTACGAGGAGGGGTGCGGGAGGAGATGGCGGAAGGACGGAGGAGGGCCAGGCGCGCACCAGCGCCCGTAATGGCCGCCCGGAGATTGGTCTGGCTTGGTCCGTGCCTGCGAGGTGAGAGAGAGAGAGAGAGAGTGCGGCGCGCGCGCGCACCTGCGCTACGCTGCCTGTGCTACCCCCTCCTCCTCCTCCTCCTGCTCCTCCTCCTCCTCCGCCCTTCTCCTCCTCCTCCTCCTCGTCCTCCTCCTCTGGGCCCCGTGTGCTCCTCGCGACACTTCGTCCCCGTCGTCCTGTCCGGAGCTCCCTGGCCTTCGTCGTGCTTGCAGTGCGCTCGACCCCCGGCGAAGGGAGGAGGCGTCACGTCGCATCTTCGGGTCAAGTCGGGCCTGTCCCACTACAGGAGGAATATGGAAAATAGTTGAAAAAAGTCAGGGGACGATTTTTCTAGTTTTTTTCTTTTTGCCAATTTTGAAGTTTTTTTTGCTATTTTTCAGAGCGTGAATTACCTACCCCGCTTTCGCTTCCAGGCAAAACCAAGTCATACCACGCGCCTCCTCATCAAGCGGCCTGACCAGTACAGGCCGTAGTTTGGCATCGCTTGGTATCTCTTGGAAGCGAGGGTGGTCAAAAGCGAGGTAGGTTTGTTTGCCCCCTAATCTTAATTTTTCCTCCAAAATCCGCCTGTCGGGAGACATGCCCGACCCAGTCTTCGGGGGACCTCGCCTGTCCCGAAAGTTGGTCTCTTCTCTCGTGCCCGACCGCGGGCTCGATGCGGATTCTCGCCTCGGCTGCGGCACGGCCTCGACGCGGGCCCGACGCGGAGGCGGCGCGGCTTCGACGCGGCTTCGACGCGGCCTCGACGAGCACGGCGTGGATTCGACACGGATGCGGCACGGCTCCGACGCGGCTCCGACGCGGAGCTGGCGCGGCTTCGGCGCGGCTTCGACGCGGCCTCGACGAGCCCGGTGTGGGTTCGACACGGAGGCGACGCGGAGGCGCGGCGGCACCGAGCAGGTCCCCAGGCGATGCAACATAGGAGGAGCTCAGCCCGGCGAGGGCCGCCCGCCCCACGGAGGCGCGGGCCCGTGCCTTCAGCAGGGGGTCCTCCTCCCCCTCCTCCTCCTCTTCCTCCTCCTCCTCCTCCTCCTCCTCCTCCTCCTCCTCCTCCTCCTCCTCCTCCCTCTCCTCCCCCTCCTCCCCCTCCTCCTCCCCCTCCTCCTCCTCCTCCTCCTCCTCCTCCTCCTCCTCCTTCTCCTCCTTTGCGCTCCCTCTTCTTGTGGGAGGGTTGCGTGGCGTCTTCGGGAGACCGTGTCTGTCCCCCGAAATTCGTGTCTTTTCTTGCGCCCGACGCGGGCTCGATGCGGACTCGACGCGGATGTGGCGTGGATTCGATACGGATTCGACGCGGGTCCGATGAGTTCGACGTGGATTCGACACGGGTTCGACGCGGATAGGGCCGCGACGGGACAGACAAGGTCCCCCGAGGATGCAACAGAAGGAGGGCCTTCGACCAGTCGCGCGGATCGGTGAGCTTCCTCGGTGGGGTCGTCTCTGCCCGGAGCTCGTAGGTCAGCCCTCCCCCCCCATTCCAAGGCGGATTGTTGGGGCCTGGGTGGTTTTGGCCGCCGCGCAGGGCGGGGTACAGATGCTGCACCCCACCGGTCTTTGAGCCGGAAGCTCCATCCTCGTGCCCCCCCCCCTCCAAGGGGAGGGGGCCCCGGACGGCGCCGTGAGGCCTGACGCCTGCCCCTGCCGAGTCGATCCAAGCCCCCCTCCTCCAGCCCCTCTCGGGTCCCCTCCGCGGGTCTCTAAGATCTGAGTTAAGTTCAAGTTCAGTTCGTCTGAGTACAAACTATGTTAAGTTCAATCTGAGGTATGGGATATGGTGCAGAACTTACACTTATCTTAACTTAGTTTTCTGTGCCCCCCGGATGCTCAGGGCAGCCCCTCCTGGGTCCCTTCCGCGCCCGCGGCCCGCGCGGCGCCGCGCGGCGGTGGCGGGGCGCCCTCGAGGGCCGGGCTCGCGCGGCCGCGCATGGCGGCACCGCCCGCGGGGTTCGCGGCGCCGGCGGACGCGGGGGCGCCCTCCAGGACCTCGGGCTGCGGCGGGGGTGGGGGGGTGGCTCCTCCCCTCTCCTTCTCCTCTTTCTCCTCCTTTTCCCTCCTCTTTCTCCTCCTCCTCCTCCTCCTCCTCCTCCTCCTCCTGCTCCTCTTCCTCGCTTGCCTCTGCTTGTCTTCCGCTCCCTGCTCCCTCCTCCGGCTCCCCGCTCCTCTGCTTCTCGCTCCCTCGCTCCTTCTACTTCTCCCTCCTCCGGCTCCCCGCTCCCCGCTCCCCGCTCCTCCTCCTCCTCCTCCTCCTCCTCCTCCTCCTCTTCCTCCTCTTCCTCCTCTTCCTCCTCTTCCTCCTCTTCCTCCTTTTCCTCCGCCTCCCTTTCGCCTCCTTCCTCCTTCCTGAAGCCCCTCGTCAATGCCTTGGTTACCTCGCGCGTTACCGTGGGTGCACCAGAGCGTGCCATGCGCGCGGATCGCCGCGGCTTGATAGTGTTATTTTTTTTTCTTAGGGCGTCATGTGTTACTTTCTCAACTTTTACATCCCTGCCAAAGCCGGTTGGCTTTTTTGCTCTCGGACACCATGATGACGTGGTCGCTGTCTGGCAGGCTGTGCGGCGGCCTGGTGACATGCTGCCCGCGGCTATTTACGCAGGTTTGTTGTGCCACGCACGCCATACTACTCCGCACGTGCGAGCACCCCTTCGTGGTGCTCCTGCGCACCCGCGCGCACGCATGCAGCAGATGGTGCGTTCTCGTCCGAATGCAATCGGCCTGTTTGGTCAGCTCGGTGGCTGACAGTTCTTCTCTTCTTGTCACCCTGCTCTCGGCTGGACCCCCCCTCGCTCTGTGAGCGCGTTCCACCCCCTCCCTCCCTCCATCCCTCCATCCTTCTCGTCCCTCCTCCTTCTCCTCCTAACTCTCGTCCTGGATTCATGTGGGGAGGATGAGGATGAGGATGCGGATGGCAGAGAGGGCGGAGGCAAGGAGGACGAGGTAGGGAGGGGAGGAGGGGGTGGTAACGGGGAGGAGGAGGAGGGGAAGGAGGATGGACGGCCACTTGAGAAGAGAGAGAAGTAGGTAAGGAGGGGGAGGAGAGGAAGGAGCAGGATGAGGAGGAACAGGAGGATATTGACCCCCATGAACCTTCCAGCACCGCCCTAGGAACGCATCGAACAATCTCCTCCTCCCTCCCTTGTCGTCGTCGTCGTCGTCGTCGTCGTCGTCGTCGACGTCGCCGCCGCCGCCGCCGCCGTCGTCGTCGTCGTCGTCGTCGTCGTCGTCGTCGTCGTCGTCGTCGTGTCCCCTCCTCCTCCTCCTCCTCCTCCTCCTCCTCCTCCTCCTCCTCCTCCTCCTCCTCCTCCTCCTCCTCCTCCTCCTCCTCCCCCTCTGGACACCCGCAACGACCAGATCAAGCTCTCCGACCCTGTCAAATTCGAGGGGTGGGCTAGCAACCTCTTCCGACAAGATGCGGATCTACGCCAAGCTGCTATCGATTAAGCGCGCCAGCGGGGTCGACTACTACCCGCGCAAGCTCGCGCCCAGACTCAGGCCTTGCAGCGGGAGTTCCAGCCCTGGAACCCGATCAGCAAGCGCTTGGTGCTCACCGGTGTGAAGATGAGCGTCGGTACTGTGACTGGCCCGAACGAGAGACTCCAGAAGCTCGTCGAGCACTGGCAACCTGTCTTCCAGGGCAAGAGCGTGGACACCGAGAAGGCCGCGGACTACCTCGACCGCTTCGCGCTCAAGATCAACTTCAACAAGTGCAAGCCCCCCGGCTACGACGCGCTCAAGATATTCGCGAGACGTTCATTATCTACTTCGCCTGGCATGGATGGCCCCCCGTGCATCGCGTGGGCAACGAACGAGAAGTGCACGGATATTCTTTGGTACGTCATGTGCTGGATGCTCAGTGGCGGCCTCCTCCCCGACGAAGCCAACGCGACAGTCCAAGCCTTCCCCCCCCAAGGGCGAGGAACCAGACGACATTGAACGCGTCAGCTGCCACCGCGACCCGTCTAAAGTTCGTGTCTTGGGGCTTCGGAGCACCTCTTTCAAATCATCAGCAGCGCGATGAACGCTGCGATGGCCACATTAGCTGCCGACGGTGTTCCAGCCTCACAACGAGGGTTCATCCACCACCGCAACTTCGGCTACAACATCCTGGAGCTGGACGTCGAGAGCCGCGTCGCGTCCGCCGACCCTGACGCCGTGGGGAAGTTGCCCGTGCTGGTGTCTCTGGACATCGCGCAGGCGTTCCTGAGCTTCGCGCACCAGTTCATCTGCCTCGCGCTGAAGGCCATGGGCGCCCCCGTGGCGGTCCTGAACTTCTTCGACGCGATGTGCCACAACATTCTGGCGATGGCGTCCTGTGCGGGTCAGTGCATCCCGCTGTTTTACATCCGCTCGGGCATCATCCAGGGCTGCGGGTGGAGTGGCACGCTCTTCGCGATGGGCGCCGCCTGCTTCCTCCTCCCTCGACCTCGAGTCGAAGCTCGAGCTCAGGGGCCTCGGGATCTGTAGGGCCTGCGCCGACGACCTCTGCCTGGCGCTCACAGCAGTGGCCCATCTCTTCCACCTGGCGGGCGTGATGGTGCTCATGGAGGACCTCGCGGGCCTGGCGCTGAAGCCTGCCAAGTGCCACGTCATCCCCTTGGCGGGCCCTGTCGACGACGAGCTCGTGCTCAAGCTCCGCAACGCCCTGGTCGCGATCGTGCCGCGCTTCCAGGAGTTCAACATCTGCGACCACCTGACCTGCCTCGGCCTTCTGCTCGGCCCTGGCGTGACTGAGCAGCTGATCTACGCTCCGCAGGCGCGCCGAGATGTTCAGCGCCGGCGACGCCCCCTCTATGGGCTCCGCCAACCTCTGCAACAGCCGTGCGCTTCCCGTCCTCGGCTACCTGGACCAGTGCGCCCTGCTGCCCCGCGAGCACTTCAAGTCCGAGAACTGGGTCAACCCCTCGGTCCTGCGGTTCCCAAATGGCGCCTTCAGGGTTCAGGACTGGCCGCGGCCGAAGGTCTGGGGGATCCATGCCCCGCGGCCGCTGCAGCTCACGATGCTTGCCACGATCGTCCGAGCTGCCACGTCGACCTTCAAGAGGTTTCCAGAAATTCGCGAGCGCCTCCGCCGTGGTCTCGACCAGTACGGCGACCAGCAGACGCTGTTAGGCACAGCGCGGGGCGCCTTGCATCTCTCGCCGCCGTGGTGGAAGATGGCGCCCTTTGTCGAGACGCTCCGCCAGATCGTGTCCGCGTCGGCGGACCACCGCTATTACCCGTCCATGCTGCTTGTACCTGCCTTGGCGTGCGCGCGGGCTGCCATCGCTGAGGAGACGCCGTCGGTCGCCCAGCGTAAGGCGTACGCTGCCGCTCTGGAGGCGCGGGGCCCCGACACGATCGGCCCGTTCCTGACCGCCAGGATCGTGCTCGAGCTGCCCGACACGGCCGAGTTCTTCGGGCGCTTCCCTGATGCCGTCTCCCGGGTGTGTGGAGCCATGGAGAAACTGCCTCCCTCGTGGGCGGCCTCCTGGATGCGGGCGCTCTCCTTCTCCTGGCTGACCTCGAGCAGGGTTATCAACGTGAGCGGGCGCAAGGACTGCATCTTCCAGTGCGTGTACGGCGAGGACTCCATGAAGCACTACCTGACGTGCGGGCCCCTCGCAGTGGCAGTGGCGCGCGCGGTTCGAGCCTCCGTCCAGACCTCCGCCATTGCGAACCTGGGCCTCCAGGACTGCTCCAACGAGAACGTGGAGCTCATCGTGGTCGCGTGCGGCACCTACCGCTTGCTCCGCAATGAGTTCGTGGTCGGCCCCGAGGCCGCGCTCTCTGCGGCTCGCGCGGCGCGGAGGGCCTCGCGGACGATGCACAGGCCTCCGAGGGTCCAGCGGGCACCTCTGATGCAGGCCGCTGAAGTTGCCGCGCACGACCAAGACACGCTGCTGAAGTGCGCCGCCCAAGCCGCGGCCAGCTTCCACCACCTGCGGGAGCCCTTGTGAGCAGGGGCTAGCCACGGAGGCCGAGGCGCGGCTGCGCGCGGGGGCGCGCGCTCGTGCTCGTCGGCGGAAGACCGGGCGCTCATGCACGCTCGGCTCCTTCTCCTCCTCCTCCTTCTCCTCCTCCTCCTCCTCCTCCCCTTCTCCTCCTCCTCCTCCCCCTCCCCTCCTCCTCCTCTCCTCTCTCCTCCTCCTCCTCCCTCCTCCCTCGCCTCTCTCCTCCTCCTCCTCCCTCCTCCTCCTCCTTCCCTCCTCCTCCTTCCCCTCCTCCTCCTCCTCCTCCTCCTCCTCCTCGGGGCTCGGGGCTCGGGGCTGGGCGGCGGCGGAGGGCGCGGCCGCGGGCGGCACCCCGTGGGCGCCGCCCGGGGGCTTCTCCGGGGAAGCTCGCCCGCAGTTTGGTGCGGCGCCTCGCCCGTGCGCGGCGCAGGCTCGGCGTGCACCGCTGCCGCCAGAGCGCGGGCTTCCTCCCCGGCCGCGGCAGCAGCTGGGGTTCGGTCGGGCCGCCTGTCCCTCTACAGGAGGAATATAATATATATATATATATATATATATTATATATATATATATAGAGTGAGAAAATATTCAGGGGACGATTAGCCGTTTTTTTTTTGGGGGGGGGGGGGAACTATTTTCGAACTGTCGCCCAAAATCCCCCTGTAGGGGGACACGCCCGACCTAAAGCTAGGGTGTGCACCCGGTGTGCCCTCTGCTTGTCCGTCGTCTTTCTTGGCGGCTCTCGCGGAGGCGGGCCGCCCGTGGCAGAAGCCCACAGCTGAGCCCACTGTCCGCCCCACCACAACGCTAGCCGCTCGTCCAGCAACTCCGCGCACGTGAGGCCCCCCCCAGGGCCGAGCAAACAGCGTCATTTCGAGCAGCATTAACGTTTTTCACTCCGCTGCAGCATCTCCCTGCCGCGTCGCCCTTTCCGCCTTGCGTCTCGCGTGCGTTGCTGCCCCGCGACAGCTGTCTGGCACTTGCGTGAAGGTTGGGACCCCGGTGCGCAGAGCACACCGCCGTTCCAGGCGCTGCCACCACGCTCGGTCAGGGAGGGCCGTCTCGTCCCATGCGGGATGCATTACTGGAACGCTGCCTTGCTCCTGCTCCGTCCCGTCGGGCGCACCGCCGCCGCCAGCGTTGCCACGGCTGGCGGCTGCCGAAGCCAACGCTGCTCGCGCCTCCTCGACGTGGACGCCCTGGGTACGAGGAGCCACCGGGCGAATACCGTCCTCGGGGGCCGCCTGCGCAGAGAGACAGCCCAAGCACAGCAAGCTGCAACGATGACGACTGCCCCAAGTGCACATGCGTGCCTCCGCCGTCTCAAAGGGCATTGCGCACCCCTTGCACGCAGCATCACGCTTGGAAGTGGGCTGAAGGTCCAGTGCCGATTCCCCGCGGCGGCGTCGCCGTCCTCCCCCAGCACCCTCCTCATCTTCCCCATCCTTCATCAGGCAGCGCAGCCCAAGTAGGCGGAGTACACGAATAGCACGACCTCACGGCCGCGCAGCTCTGGAGAGAAAACAGCACAAACATATCATGCAAATTCCAAGTGTCAGTCAGCCTTATATCCCGCTCAGAGCGGCTGTGATCCAGCGATTAACGGAACAGCGGCGGCCTCGGATGCACAGAGCGGCAGCGATCGCGAGGCCAAGATGAGTGCGAGAAAGCGGCGCACGGGCGCGGCCAGCCAGCTGGCCGGCCCGGGCAGCCGGCCGCACGCGGCCGCACTCGAGCTACTCCTCCTCCTCCTCCTCCTCGTGCCTCCTCCTCCTCCTCCTCCTCCTCCTCCTCCTCCTCCTCCTCCTCCTCCTCCTCCTCCCCCCTTTGGGGGTCAAGGAGGGGCTGGGCCCAAGGGTCGCGGCGAGCGCCGCTCGCGGAGGGGGCGCCGCTGCCACGCGCGGGAAACATTCCCCGGCTCCGAGCGCTGGTTTGTCCGCGGAGGCGCCCGCGGAGCAGACTGCCATCTGTCCCAGCGGGAGGCGGTCTTCGTGCCGCCGCGGCGCCCCCCCAAATCCAGGGGGCCAGGGGTCGGTATCGTTTAACCGATTCCCATCCCCACCCCCATCCCTTCGAGACCCCCGCCAAATTACAGCCCCAGTTGGGGATGCACCCCTCGAAACCCGAAGGGAGCGGCCTATGTCCCCTATCAAGGGTGGTAAATCGGCCAGTGGGGCCCATGCCACGCCCGCTGGGGACGGGGACCGGTGAAGCGATGCTCAAGGGGGAGGAGGGGTAAATAGTCTTCTGGCTCGAGGTTCGAGGCTTTTGGACGTTCTCGTTGGTCCCCAGCGGCCTTCCGGGAACGGGGCGCTCTCCATCCGCTGCGCCTCGTCGGGCGCGTCTCGGGGCTGCCCGGATCGTCCCGAACGGCCGCCAGCCTGTCGAGCTAGGGCCCGAACACAATCGGGCGGGACACAGTCAGGAACTCTGGCTCAGCCTGTCGCGCCGCCAGTTTTGGCCCACCGCGCGTCGGCCCGAGACGCCGACCCCTTGCCACTTTCGAGCGCCGACGTCCCGAGCTCCTCCGAGCCTCCCTCCCCGCAGCGCGGAGCGACACGCTACCTGCTCGCAAGGCGTAGCGTGCTGCCTGTGTTGCCGGGGCCGCCGCCGCGACACGCCAGGCAAACCTCCTTCCCGACCGTAGGCTCAGGGAGGTCGAGGTTCGAGGCTCCTCCTCCTCCTCCTCCTCCTCCTCCTCCTCCATTTCGGACGTGTTCTTCGGCCCTCGGCGGCTTGCCAGCGTCGGGGTGCTCTCCAGTGGCTGCGCTTCGCCGGGAGCGTTCGGGGGGTGCCCGGATCGTCCCGAACGGTCGCTGGAGACCCGAGTTTATCCGAAAACCGACGACGGGGGGTGGGCGAGGAGGGGAGGAGAAGCCACGTGCGCTCGCGCCATGTGCGACATCCCCGCCCCACCCATCCCTTCTCATGGCGCTGACTTCTCACAATTCGCCGGCGGGTATCATAGCGGACTGGTAGCAGTAGTGGAAGAAGCGGGAGGAACAGGAGGAACAGGGGAACGCAGAGAAGGGGGAATGGAGGGGATGACAATCACTGGGAAACACTCGGATCCAGAAGTGTGGCCCACGCTGGGACGAGAGCGCCGTTCTGAACGATGGGAGCAAAGCGCCGATCCTCAAATGAGGCCAACGGTTCAGCGGGAACACCATGTTGAAGATCGAAAACGCTCCGACCGAGAAGAGCCATACGGCAAACACAAAAGCCGTTCGATATCTTGTGCGTAAAAAACAGCGATGTGGGAGAACCGCTGCCCCGCTCGCACAAAAACTGGATATATATATATATATATAGAGAGAGAGAGAGAGAGAGAGAGAGAGAGAGAGAGGGAGAGGGAGGGAGAGAGAGAGAGAGAGGAGAGATACCAGTACTCAAACGGAATATGGTCGTACCGAGGTATAAGATCGAGGTCGGTTCGAGGAGGGTGCCGTAATACTCTTCGTGTCTGTTGGATGCTCCTGTGCATCCTGGGGGTGGTACCCTCGAATGCTCTTCAGGTTGACCGGCGGTGGGTCTAATGCTCAGTCGGGCCTGTCTTTCTACAGGGGGCTATCCAATTACTCACTGCGTGGAGTTCCCCATATGTACATTTTGTTCGAAAGGTAATCTTGTATTTGGGATACTTAGATGAGCGTCTAGCCATGTGAGCCATATGTGCATCTCATATTGTACACAGCAAAAGCATCAACGCAAAACGGGACACAACGCAAAAGCAGACAAGAGGCAAACCGCTAGAGACATCCCCACAGAACGGCGACGAACGGAGCCGTGGAAGCACCCTTGGCGGCTCCCCTTAGCTAGCTGAGGCCAGCGCCCCGCCTGAGACATCCTCACACTCTGCTCTCCAAGCGAAGGATGTTGAGACAGAAAGCAGGCAAACCGCTTGAGACATCCCCACGGAACGGCCGCGAACGGGACCGTGCAATACCCGTCGGCGGTCCCCCTTAGGGGTGCTGAAACCAGCGTCCCGCCTGAGACATCGCACGATCTGCTCTCCAAACGAAGGATGTTGAGACAGAAAGCAGGCAAACCGCTTGAGATATCCCCACAAACCGGTCGCGAACGGGACCGTGCAATACCCTTCGGCGGCTTCCGCTAGGTAGTTGAAGCCAGCGCCCCGCCTGAGACATCTCACAATCTGCTCTCCAAACGAAGGATGTTGAGATAGAAAACAAGCAAACCGCTTGAGACATCCCCACAGAACGGCGCGAACGGGACCGTGCAATACCCATCGGCGGCTCCCCTTAGGGGTGCTGAAACCAGCGCTCCGCCTGAGACATCGCACGATCTGCTCTCCAAACGAAGGGTGTTGAGACAGAAACCAGGCCGCTTGAGACATCCCCACAGAACGGCCGCGAACGGGACCGTGCAATACCCGTCGGCGGCTCCCCTTAGGGGTGCTGAAACCAGCGCCCCGCCTGAGACATCGCACGATCTGCTCTCCAAACGAAGGATGTTGAAACAGAAAACAGGCAAACCGCTTGAGGCATCCCCACAAACCGGCCGCGAACGGGACCGTGCAATACCCGTCGGCGGCTCCCTTTTAGGGGTGCTGAAACCAGCGCCCCGCCTGAGACATCTCACAATCTGCTCTCCAAGCGGAGGATGTTGAGATAGAAAACAAGCAAACCGCTTGAGACATCCCCACAAAACGGCGCGAACGGGACCGTGCAATACCCATCGGCGGCTCCCCTTAGGGGTGCTGAAACCAGCGCCCCGCCTGAGACATCGCACGATCTGCTCTCCAAACGAAGGATGTTGAGACAGAAAACAGGCAAACCGCTTGAGACATCCCCACAGAACGGCCGCGAACGGGACCGTGCAATACCCGTCGGCGGCTCCCCTTAGGGGTGCTGAAACCAGCGCCCCGCCAGAGACATCCTCACAATCTGCTCTCCAAGCGGAGGATGTTGAGATAGAAAACAGGCAAACCGCTTGAGGCATCACCACAAACCGGCCGCGAACGGGACCGTGCAATACCCGTCGGCGGC